ATCCCAAATCCCCCCGGCTGTCCCCTCCTGTCAGGGAGTTGTGCAGAGCCACAAGGTCCCCCCTGAGCCTCCTTTTCTCCAGGCTGAGCCCCTTCCCAGCTCCCTCAGGAATTCTCCAGTCCTTTCCCAGCTCCCTCAGGAATTCTCCAGCCCCTTCCCAGCTCCCTCAGGAATTCTCCAGTCCTTTCCCAGCCCCCTCAGGAATTCTCCAGCCCTTTCCCAGCTCTCTCAGGAATTCTCCAGCCCTCTCCCAGCTCCCTCAGCATAGGACTAATTGTCTAGACCCTTCCCCAGCTCCGTTTCCCTTTCCTGGGCACTCCCCAGCCCCTGCAATGGGAGTGTACCATTTCCATGCTGAATTCATACAGGGACTGGAGGGGCTGTATCCCAAAGCCCCCGTGGAACTGGTGTGGTTCCTGCTAAAACATCCAAGGCCCAAGTTGAGTAAGAAAGGGACAGTGACAGGACAGGACTCCACGCTGCTGCTCTCCAGGTATTTTATTCCCCATTTCCAGCCCACACGGAATCACCTTCACACTCCTGCAGCCCGAGCTCAGCTGCACTTCCTTGAGAAGGGAAATTATCCTGGAGGATTCTCCTTGGAGGGCAGTCAGACCTGCTTGGTGAGCACGGTGCACTTTGAGACCCCTGTGTGAGAGGAACTGGGTGTGTTAAAATGGGAAGAGACAGCTTTGTTCTCACAGAGTAACTTCAGGAGTAACTCTGGGTGAATGGCACTGAGATACGAGTGAGCAGAAACAGATGTGGAGCACAGCTACAAACAGGATGTGAAAATAAACTCATTACTCCATCTGCCCACCGTAAACAGCATGAAATTAGCAGGGAGTGAGGAATAAAAGTGCAGACAAATGGCCTTTTAAAGGGAGCAGAGGGAGCTGGAAGGGCTGCTGGTAGAAAAGCAGAGACACAGAAAGCCCAAGCCATGCACAGCTCAGTGCATATCCCAGTCCCCTGGTCAGTCAAGGAGGAGGAAAATCCTGGGCACAGAGCCTGCCAGGAGCTATTTCTGAAGGCAGAACCAGAAAGGCCACTCCATCTCTGGCAGAGAAGACCTCATATTGCTCTGTCCCTGCTGCTAGGAAGCACCATCAATTTTATAAGTCATGGAGATTTATTTTTTTCCCTAAGAGGTACTGTCTTAATGTTGCATAAAATTACTCTCTCAGGGGCAGTGTGAGGAGAAAAACGTGCTGTTATGTTGTCTCAGTTGCAAAGACATTGCTGACAATAAAAGCCCCTGAATGATTTGGTTTTTAAGTGACACAATTACAGAACGGGTCATTCGTGACACTCCAAGAGCCTTCAAGCACCTCTGCCATAAAATCTGAGTGGGGGTGTTCTGTGCTGTGGCTTTGGGCTGTAAATATTCACCCCTGGCCTTTGTTCTGTGAAGCAAGGCTCGGCTTGAGGATATATTTACTTAAAATTTTGCAGGAAAATTTCTCAAATGGTCAATCTGCTTGATTTATGTAAAGTGAGATCCCAAAGTGTTTTATGGCTTTTACAGGCTGCTTGTGTTTATAACCATCCTGGGGAGTATCTTCTGCAATTCATGTAGCGGAGAAAGGGAAGCAAGGTCATAATTTCTATTTTAACCTACTTTTCTAGCAGCTGACAGGACACTGACAAAGTCATCTCTTCTAGAATGCAACCTGCTGGGCTTTATCCTCATTCAGAGGAGATCCTTTGGAGAAAGCCAGAGTAGAAAAAGCCAAGTATTTTTGCCTTTAGTCCTATGGATTCTGCTCAGATATGTTCTCTAGCTCATTTTATGGATCTCAGTGAAATTGCAAATTGCCCAAATGATATTTCAAGGAAACTGGTTCCCTGTGTTCGAAGTTCTTCAGTATATGACAGCCCAAGGCAGAGTTCCCACATGTTGGAAATAATTTCTCTCTCCACATTTGGCAGATCCAAACAAGCCTTGAGTGCTAAATAAACCAGGTCTATGAATAAATCAGGGGCAGGAGAACTCAAATTTGAGATGGTGTGAGATTTGAAATACCTGAAAGCTTGACGTTGGCCATGAGGCACTTTGAAATAGTCTGCAGTTAGATGAAAGGTTTTTCATTTGAGATTCCATTGGGATATTTCAGGAGGAAACCTCCTGGTGGGTTCACCCAAAGTTTGTAATAAACAGAATTGAAGTATCTGAACTCCAGCTGCTACTTTCTACTCTAATCAAGAGCAACAGAGGCAGCTCCCTTTAGCAAACACACTGTGACTGCTGAGGGAACAAATGGAAATCCTGGGCTTCAGTGCTCAACTGGGGGTGCAGAAATTAAGGAGAGGTAGCAGCTGGAAGGCAGAAAAGGGACTTTGTGAAGAGATCCATAGAGCCTTGGAGAAAGCAGAGATTTCATTAAGCCCTCAGAGACGGAGATCAGGGACTCACATTTTCTCAGGAAGCAGAAATTTCTAATATTATATATTATAATAGTCCAAGCTGGGTCTCACCAGAAGCAGACACTGGAGGGAGTCAAAAAGCAGAAGGTCTTTTCTATCCTTCCCCTTCTGGTTCCTATCCAAAGGGAAGACAAGTTATGGTAGAGACAGAGAGTTCCTTTGGGAAGGATTTGAGAAGTTCTGCTTCAAGGTCATGACAGCAGTTTGTGTTTTTACAGTACAGCAGGATCCAAAATCACTGTACAGGCACTGGAACAGATTCTCCCCTTCCACAAACCAGGTTTGCCTCTTCCTCACTCTCCCAAGCCGTGGTACAGTCATGCCTGACCTCTGTCAAATGCTCCAGACCATCCCAGCATCACCTCTCTGTCACCTGGGTGCACACAGCCACACCCTGCTGGGCACAGCTGAGCCCCTGGCCCTGCCCTTTGCCAGGGCAGCCTGGAGCCTTTGGGCTGAGCACATCCCTGGAGCCTTTGGGCTGAGCACATCCCTGGAGCCTTTGGGGTGAGCACATCCCTGGAGCCTTTGGGGTGAGCACATCCCTGGAGCCTTGGGCTGAGCACATCCCTGGAGCCCTGGGCTGAGCACATCCCTGGAGCCTTTGGGGTGAGCACATCCCTGGAGCCTTGGGCTGAGCACATCCCTGGAGCCTTGGGCTGAGCACATCCCTGGAGCCTTTGGGGTGAGCACATCCCTGGAGCCCTGGGCTGAGCACATCCCTGGAGCCTTTGGGGTGAGCACATCCCTGGAGCCTTTGGGCTGAGCACATCCCTGGAGCCAGTCTGGATGTGTCCAGCCTGCTTTAGAGAGGAACAGCAATAATAACTCGGGATTGATCTGCTCCTGGCATGAGGCACAGCTCCACTGAGCCCTGATGAACTAATTTACTGGTGCACACCACACGAATTCATTGGTGTACGTGTAGCAATAACATCTTCCTGCCATGCTTTGGGCTCTCCTCTCCAAATGGGGAACACAGCATTTTGTGTGGGTAAAGGAACTCTGAAAACAATCTACAAAAGCTTGGAAAAAGCCAGTACAGAAACAGTGGGAGTGCTGGGGAGATGGTGGCAGTGAACAAGGGCCAACTCCTGGGATATGTGTGGGCTGACTACATGTCACAACACCCACACGGAGCCATTGACAGCTGCAGGAAGGTGTAGGCACAGTTAAATCATATTCAAGGAGCAGAGGCCAGGGTCTCTATAACATTGGGCTACTGTTAACTTTGGAGGGCAGAAATGAGATAGAGAGCTGGGAAATAAAGGGTTTGAAAATATTTTTGTTCTCCAAGAAGGAAAAATCAATCACCAGGAACTGGTTAAGTTTCTGTCATTTATAATCCTGCTGCCAGGCTGATCCTGTGACTGAACCATGGAATGATTTGGGCTGGAAGGGAGCTCAGAGGTCACCTGGTTCCACCCCTCTGCCATGGGAAGGGACACGTTCCACTATCCCAGCCTGGCCCTGTGGGTGCTGTGAGAGTCAGGGAAAACAGTAGCCCAGGTTTTCCCCAGCTACTCAAAGGAAAACAGAAGGGAAAGAATTAATAACAAAGTTTAGCACCGGGTGTTGTTGACAGGATGAGCGTGTGAGGAACGTGATGTTTTGGTAAAAGCATGTTTACAAGAGGTGTTGCCTTCCTTGGACCAATGAACTTATTCTATCCTTGGTTCAGTGAACCGGTCTATAAAAATGTGTCCGCTCCTGCCATAAATCACCTCTGCTTTCTGGAAGGCGCGCGTGTTGCTGTGTGTGTAGCCCTCCAGGAGCGGGGCACGCACAGGTGCTGTGGCAGCCTGGGAGGAGCCGGGGCCCAGCCAGGTGTGCGCTGACCGCGCTGTTTCCCTTGCAGAAGGCATGGCCGAGGCCGCCGGCTCCGGCAGGGACTGCCTGCAGGCGGGCGAGTCCTGCAGCCACGACCCGGTGTGCAGCGCCAAGTTCCGCACGCTGCGCCAATGCATCGCGGGCAACGGGGCCACCAAGCTGGGCCCCGGGGCCAAGAGCCAGTGCCGCAGCACCGTGAGCGCCCTGCTCTCCAGCCAGCTCTACGGCTGCAAGTGCAAGCGCGGCATGAAAAAGGAGAAGCACTGCCTGAGCGTCTACTGGAGCATCCACCACACGCTGATGGAAGGTCGGTGCAGCGGGGCCTCCTTCCTCACGGCTTCCTCAGGGGGAATTTCATTGCTCAGGGCCGTTCTGCAGAGCTCCCCAGCTCTGAAGGTGCTCCAAAATACCCCTGGAACACCCCGTTCTGTCTCAGTCCTGACAGGACCCAAGGGAATGGCTTGAAGTTGTGTTAGGGGAGGCTTAGTTCAGATATCAGGAAAGGGTTCTTCCCCCAGAGGGTGGTCAGACACTGCCCAGGCTCCCTAGGGAATGGTCATGGTCCCAAGGCTGCCAATTTGGGCAATGCTCTCAGGCACAGGGTGGGATTGTTGGGGTGTCTGTGCAGAGCCAGGGGTCGGACCTGAGTGTCCCTGTGGGCCCTTCCAACTCAGGAGCTTTGATGATCCTATTGATCCCCATGGCACTGACATTTTGGGGAAAGCACCACTGAAAACCTGAGATGCCTCCTTCCTTTTTTTAACCCAACCTCTCTTTTATGACATTCCCAAAATACATTGAGATCTTTTGCTGGGGAAATGCACAACATATTTTGTATGTAAGTATGCTAACCAAGACCATGAACACTGTAGATTTTATAGAAACACAACATAAAGCACAGGCACTGAGGAAAAACAGCATGATCTTCAGAAAAATCACTCTCTTAGAATGTCTCAAGTGCACCAGTGTCTTTGAGTTAGTGAAGATTTGGGGCTGGTGACATCAAGTTGGAACTTAAAGTGTTCCCAGAGCCAGTATTCAATAAGTTTGGATTTTGACGTTTTTTAAGAGTCACCATAAAATTGCACCTCAGTGACCATAACTCTTCCTTGTCAGGCTGGTGAGTATTTTATGCACCATGAAAATTAAAATGGGGAATAAAACAGACCCTTCCAGCCATGGGCTGTGAAATAGATTAATAAAACACTGCTGGCTGAAACCTGAAAGGAGAAGTGCAGAGGTGAGACCACAGGCCAAAGGGCCAAGCAAAACAAAGAGGATGGACACTACAGTGCACAGGCTTGCCAGGATGGAAACTGGTTGATAGAAGATCTCAGGTGCCACAGCCTGCAGGGTGCAGAGCACACTGCTAGAAACTGGCTGGGGAAATGCAAGACATCAGCACCCTCCAGGATCTGGTCTTTCCTGGAATTATGTGCCAGATTTGTTTCCACCGAAGGGAAGCCCGGGGAGGAGGTGGCAATCCAGCCTCTGCTTTCCTCTCAAAGGGCAGTGCCACAGCTCCTTCCCAGCATGGCTCAGGCTTGGAACCATCACCTGTGACAGGGCTGGGTAGGGCAGTGCTGGCACGAGGGACACAGGATGGTTTATGCTGGCAGGGACCTGAAAGACCATGTAGTTCCATCCTGCCATGCCAGGGAGGGACACCTTCCCCTGGAAGGGAGAGAGGAGAGAGGCTGGAGGGGAGTGCTGAGAGCAGCAGGGGCCAGCTCTGGGTCTCCAGAGGCAGAACAGCAGTTTGGTGCTGGATGGACTCCCTGCCCAGTGCCTTGGGACTTCACCCGGGGGGTGCTGGGGATGGATGGGATGGATGGGAATAGCTGGGATGGATGGGAATAGCTGGGATGGATGGGATGGATGAGGATGGATGGGAATGGATGGGATGGATGGGATGGATGGGATGGATGGGAATAGCTGGGATGGATGGGATGGATGGGGATGGATGGGGATGGCTGGGAATAGCTGGGATGGATGGGATGGATGGGGATGGATGGGATGGATGGGGATGGCTGAGATGGCTGGGGATGCCTGGGGATGGATGGGGATGGATGGGATGGATGGGGATGGCTGGGAATGGCTGGGAATAGCTGGGATGGATGGGGATGGATGGGATGGATGAGGATGGATGGGAATAGCTGGGATGGATGGGGATGGATGGGGATGGCTGGGATGGATGGGGATGGCTGGGATGGATGGGGATGGATGGGGATGCCTGGGGATGGATGGGGATGGATGGAATGGATGAGGATGGATGGGAATAGCTGGGATGGATGGGGATGGCTGGGAATAGCTGGGATGGATGGGGATGGATGGGAATAGCTGGGATGGATGGGATGGATGGGATGGATGGGATGGATGGGAATGCCTGGGGATGGATGGGGATGGATGGGAATGCCTGGGGATGGATGGGGATGGATGGGATGGATGAGGATGGATGGGAATAGCTGGGATGGATGGGGATGGCTGGGAATAGCTGGGATGGATGAGGATGGCTGGGAATAGCTGGGATGGATGGGGATGGATGGGAATAGCTGGGATGGATGGGGATGGATGGGGATGGATGGGGATGGCTGGGATGGCTGGGGATGGATGGGGATGGCTGTTCTTGCAGGCTCACAACAGCTCTACTCCACTTCTCTGCTGTTGTGTCTTGAGCCCCACACTTTTTGAAACAACTGATTTCATTTGCAATGCAGATTCACACACCAAAGTTTTGATTTCCTTGCCTTAATTTCCCCAGGGAGATCTATTTCGTAGCAGTCCCATGTTTCAGAGTCCTTACACATGTTTAATTGACTGAGAAAGGAAGCCAATCCACACGGTCCATGTAGAGCTTTGTTTCTTCATCACACACACCCAGGAGGCTGCAAAAATCTTCCTAGAAGCCCTCTTGCAAAAACGATTGTGGAAGTGCGTGCTCAGGGAATTTACAAAGCACACTATTTATTCAGCCTCTCTTGAGCACCCGTGTTTAGCCACCTTCCCATTTAGAGACACAATAACATGATGACAACCCGATAACAACTCTCTGATAAGGTGCTTTATCATCAGGACATAAAACTGCTATGCTGGAAAATACAAATGGGCCCCTCTCCAGTCAGTAACGATGCAAGATATTTCAATGAAGGTGTAAAGCTGCCTTGTAATGCACAGTGGTAATTGCACGGGCTGGGGACACTGGGAGCCGTTTCTTCCTGCCCGCGGCTGGAGGTGAGCACATGGCCAGAGCGAGAGGCTGGATGGTCCTTTCATCCCAGCCACTACATCTGCGGCTGCTGTCCACATCCATCGAAATGTCTAATGAAAATCCCAACAGATACTGAGCTGTTTGCTTCAATAATATTCCATGGTATCCATCAGGATGATGGGGCATTACAGACCATTGCACAGATGAAAGGGAAGAACCAGTTGAATAAAATCAGGCTCCCAGAGCCTTAAAAACAAAGAGAGGAAGTTTCTGCAGGAGCTGTGGCTCATTAGCTTTGTGCCAAGTAAGAAGAGGCTGTTGGCAAGGAGGAAGGGAGAGGTGACAGTAAATGTGGAGTGTGTCATCACACACATAACGCTGTGCACAGCCCTGCCTGTGTCCTAAAAAGAGGTGAGCACCTTTGACCCAGGGAGGCACATAGAAGGAACAGCAATAATGGTGATGGAAATGCTGTGTGTGTAGGGAGCTGGTGATGTGAGCTCGGCCCATGAGCAGGAGCTCTGGTGTCCTGGAGTCCTCTCTGGCAATCCCTGCAGTGTGCCCCAGAGCTTGAGCTACAGGGAGTGGGGGCTCAGCAGTTCCTGACAGGCTGCCCCACTCCTAAACTGAGATATATTTTAAAAGGCCAGTTACATTCTGTTCCCTTCTCCAAGATGTGTCCACACACCCGCTCCCATGACTGAGTATCCATTTACTGGTGGCCTTCAGAGCACAGTCCCCTTGGACCCACGCAGCAATCCTTCACTGCAGATGTTGAACCTTGTGCATCTCAGCCATCCCTCAGGAGCCCCACCCGCCTCCTCACCACTTTCTCTTTTCCCCCAGGCATGAATGTCCTGGAGAGTTCCCCTTACGAGCCGTTCGTCAGGGGCTTCGATTACGTCCGGCTGGCATCCATCACTGCAGGTGGGTGTGTGGGGAATGCTCTGACACTCCTGGGGCAGGCAGGGAGGGAGGGACCTGGCCACGGGTCCCTCTGCACACTGGGAAGTCCTTTGTGCTCCGTGTGAGCATTGCCTGGTTCACGTCTAGCAATTGTTTTTCCAAGGAGTTGCCTCTGATTGCTGTGCTAAACTGTTACATGTTCTCAGGAAAAGCACTTGTGGTTTTTGTCTTTTGGCTGTTTCGTGTCTGTACCATGAAGGGCTGGAGATGTGGTACAATGAGCCATCCCAGGCACACATTCTCCAGAGCAGTGGCTGATCTGTTCCATGCAGACACCTCACCAAACAGGAGCTGCTTGGGCGTTGTTAGCTTTGAGGAGGTGCTTCCACACCACTCACAGGATCAAACTCTGCAGGAAAAAAGGTCAATAACTCAACCCATGTGTTGATCCCAGCCACAGCCTTTAACCAGCTGCCCTGAGGGCAACCTCAGGACCCAGAGCCCTGTTCTGCCCTGCTCTGTAACCCTGTTAAGAGCTGACAGAGCAGCCTGACACCCCTCGGGGCTCAGCAGCTCAAGGGTCAGTGTGGCCAGCGCCCATCCATCACCAATGGCACAGCTGCCACCACAACCAGCCATGCCCCACAGCCCTGGGGAAACCTTACCAAGCTGTGGGCTATTCTCCAAAATTCCCTGTCTGGGAGCAGGTAACGTGCTCCTCCTGTGCCTCAGGCAGATGTGCCCAAACAGCTTTTCCAGATGTGTGCCTTGCTCTGGGGTGACAGGCACAGCTGGAGTGCACCCAAGTGAGGAAGTCCAGGGGTGGGGATTTTTATGCATGGTTAACACACTGTCAGGTTTTTAAAGTAAATTGAAATAGGTTGTGTAGCAAATGGGCCCAGAGCAGCAGGGATTCTTCAGAGGACTTGGCATCCACTTAGGGACATGAAATTTCTTAACCTTTTTGCCTTTATTCATACTAATCAATATCTTCTATAACATAACTTACAGCCTGTTGCCCTTTAGTGTCCAGGGTCATATGGTCAACACTGCCAAAGGACCCTCTTTCACATCTACCAAAAAGAAATCCCAAGAACTTGTTAGAACATAAGACACCCCTAGGCTAAGTAAACAACAGGTATATTCAACTAAATTTTATATAAACAATATATGGCCACTACTAAAACTGCACAAATGGAACCATATCCCTCCACTCCAATTGTAGCAGTGATTTAAAAAGCACATCCGCTGGTGTTGCGTGGGAGGAGGAGAAAATCCAGCATGTTCCCTGTGATTTATTGGCTGAATGGGTAATGAAACCCTTCCAAGTAACTGTTTCCCACACGTTAGCTGGCAGCTCCCCAGCATGAACCGATGCTCTGGCAATATTCATCTCTGGGCAGTTTTAAAGGTGAGCATTTAGTGATGGGATCACAACAAGCAAAACTTTCACCCATCATAAAATAACTGAAAAACTTGGCATTTGACTTCCAGCTCACTGTAAGCAACAGGGGGCAACAGGAAGGGAAAAATAAATGGTGGGAGAAAGAGCATCTGATAAAGTCAGGGGAATGAAGTGCTCAGCCAGCTCTGAAGTGCTCAGGGAGACTGTCGGTGTTTTAACACTGTCAGCAGTGACTGGCTGCTTTTAACTCCCAGTCAAAGACAGGCCTTGACTCTGCATTGGGAATTTCTCATTCTGGGGATTTTTCCTCGGTGGAAAAATCTTTCTCTGCTGGGGAGAAAGTCCTTCTGGTGTGCTGCAGGTCATGATTTTAATTCAGAGAGATGAAAACCAGCTTCAAGTCCATTTTCTCTGTCAAGCTGGAAGGACCCTTGTTTTATCTGTTCAGTCACAGTCTGATGTCTCCACTGACTCCTTCCAGGGCCCCTGTAGCATTTTCCCCTCTGTAAAACAGACCCCCATCCACCTTTGAAGCAGCCCTACAACCCGTGTTAGACCAATACCTTTCCCTCTTCCTTTTCCCTGTATTTACAGAGAAGGCTGTTGGCATATAAACACATGAGATCCCCACTTTCCCACTGAAGACACAGTTTTCCTCATCCATCACTACAGTTTTTGCTTTATTTTCCTGACCTTTCCCCTTACTGCAGGTTTCCTTCACCTTCCCTGCATCCCAGAGCACATCTCTGCTGTCCCTCCCAGGCTGGGTCATTCTTTCTCCTCTTTTCAGGAGGGTGGACATGCAGAGTGATTTTGCTGATGTAAGCCAAGGGTGACCCTGCAAAGGTGTGGGGAGACACCCAGGTGCCCTGCCATGCAGCAGCATCGGGTCCCAGGGGCTCAGAGCTGGTGGTGCCTCTGATCCCACTCTGAGAAGGCACTGCCACTGCTCAGGACATCGGGCTCTGGCTCACACTGCTCTGGATGGAGCACTCTGTGACCCAGACAGGTCTCTCTGAGCTGGGCAGATCCTGGCGTGAGCAAACACAGCTGCTGCCAAAGCCAGAGGCCTAAAGAAACTCCCTGTCCAGGGCAGTGAGGCTGAGGTGCCGGGAATTAGTGCAGACCACCCATGTACCACAGACCCAGCTCTGCCACCGCCTCAGTCTTTGATCTTGAGCAGCTTGTGGAAACATTAGCAGTCCATTAGTGGAGATCCCAACACTGAGTGGATCCATTCCTGGCCATAAGTCAATGCACTTTCTAATGCCTGCTGTCTTCCAGGCCTCAGGCTAGTTCATTTGCATTAGCAAAGCGTTGCCAGATGCCCAGATTAAAGCAAAATTCATTTTATTAAATATGCGAGCTTGGTGGAGCGAGCCCTGGGGGTGAAGTCTGGTACGTGACTGTGGCACTTCTTGGGAAAAGATGAGTGTGGAGAGGGGATTTGGTGCTACCAGGACAGGGAGGGCACACCCACACTTCACATGGGCTCTGCCTGTGGAGCAGGTGTGT